AAGCTTCGTCTCTCATACTTTGGACATATTGTCAGGAGGGAACAGTCACTGGAGAAGGATGTCATGCTGGGTAAGATGGAGGGTCAGAGAAAAGAGGAAGACCCCCAACGAGATGGATCAGCCAGGTGGCATCATTGATGGCATCAAGTGTGGCAGCAGTGGTGACATTGGCCCAGGATCAGACATTGTTTCATTCTGCTGTGCATGGGGTCACTATGAGTCAGGTCTGACTCGATGGCACCTGACAACAACAGTCTTTGGACAGTTATTTACTTGTATATGGCACTTAACAACAATAACAAATGTAAATAGGGGTTCTGATGTGGCACTGTAGGATAAACGCTGAACTGCTAACTGCAAGGTCAATGGTTCAAACCCACCAACCACTCTAGAAACCCTATACAGGATCTCTGTGAGTTGGAACCAACTCAATGGCACTTAACAACAACAATATATGTAAATAAGTAGTCCTGGTGTAGCACTGTAGGATAAGCACTAGACTTCTAATCACAAGGTCTGCAGTTCAAACCCAGCAGTCACTTCTCAGAAACCCTATACACATTGCCTATGAATTGGAACAAACTTGATGGCACTTAAAGACGACAACAACATATATAAATGAACTTTAAGATACCTAATTATCTTAAATATAAGTCTGTTCCGACTCATAGTGACCCTGTATAGGGTTTCCAAGGAGCAGCGGGTGAGCTTGAACCACCAACCTTGCAGTTCAAACTGACCTTGGAGTCCAGTGCTTACCCCACAGTGCCACACCAAGACTCCAATTATTTTACAGGTCTATTTATTAGATTTTCCTCAGAATATTCCCAGAAGAGAGGGAAAAAAAGCATTACTGCAACCCATGTTTGTTGTTGTTAAGTGCCATCAAAGCAACCCTATATGGCGTTTCCAAGGAGCAACTGGTGAGTTAGAACCACCAACCTTGTGATTCAAACCCACCTTGTGGTCTAGAGCTTTATCTCACAGCGCCACACCAACCCATGGTACTATGAGCAATTTCCAATATGGTTCCCTGATCATTTCTGCACTAGAAAAGAGATGTGAACAAGGAGTCAATGCTTTGCTTTGGAACCTAAACAATTGGTCCCGTTCTTTCATTTCCTTTGCTGCCATGAACCAAGGCCTCTCTAAGACAGAAATCGAACCAAACTCAAAACATCTCCCACACTAGTTATTGGCTGGAGCTTGTCTTCCAGACCCACATAGTCACTTTAATTAAGGCTCCCTTGGGGCATAGAGTTGTCTTAGAATGCCATTATCACCCCATGAAAGGCCTAAGAAGAGCACACACCAATGTCTGAGGCTTAGGCCACTTTGCCCTGCAGGGAGTCTGCTTCTTCTAATCCCATTGCACATCCACAGCAGCCTCAGTGTGAATAGTTGCACATTCACTTCAAACAGAAATTGGGCCTTGGTATGTTTGGGTTAAGGGTAGGGTGGGGCTTGTGAAGAGTCTCAGATTCAAAGAGAAGTCAGCTGGGATGACAGTCAGTGGCTCCAGCCCCCAGGGACCTGGAAAGGCTGATAGGAAGGCACCCTGGGGGTCTCTCCCTACTGAGAGGGGATTCTTTGAACTCACTTAGGATGGTTTTGACAACAGATGGGACAATTCATTTCTCTTAAGTTTCCTCTGAGCAGAGTAAAGGGAGTTTTGCCTAATGATAAAAGAAGCCAGTGACATTTTGCTATCCTCAATTCTACCCTCTTCCTTCAGGCCCTGTTAAGGAATTTGGCTAACCTACCCATATAATCCTGGTATGATGCTGCAGGATAATGCACTGGACCCCAAGGTCAGCTTGAACCACAAGCCTTCTGAACATGGTAGCTTTGTAGGATAAACACTGGACAGCAAACCTCAAGGTCAGCTGTTCGAGCCCAGCAACCGCTCTGCAGGAGAAAAATGAGGCTTTCTGCTCCCACAAATATTTACAGCCTCAGAAATCTTATACTGGGTCACTATGAGTAGGATCAGCACTGAACAGCACTTAGCAACAACACAACCCTTGGTTTTAAGGAGGTCTAGAGGAGCTCTGGTAGCGTAGTGGTTACAAATCGGGCTACAAACCTTAAGGTCAGCGGTTCGAAACTACCAGCCGCTCCGCGGGAGAAAGATGAGGCTTTCTACTCCCGTAAGGATTTACACCCTTGGAAACCCTATACAGGGTCGCTAT